AAAGGCATTTGTTGACCACCCAGGTATGCCTCCTGGGATGAGGTATACCTGGGTGGTCGACAAATGCCTTTGATGTCGACACCCACGCGTCCAGACTACAGCACTGAGCCGACAAACAGCTGATCAGCTGTTTGTCGTCTCAGCGCGGCAGCCATGTAAATTTAAATGAAGTGGCGATTATTTAAATCGCCGCTTCATTTTCCTATGTCTGGTAGCCTAATCTACATGCCTCTGGCGATAGAGGCATGTAGTCTAGACGTACCCTAGCAGTTTAATGGGGACATTGCGTTTTCTCAGGGTGTGTCTAGACTACAGGGGTTTTTTTTAAAAAAAAAATAGCCTTTTTTTGAAAAAACTTCACCTGCGTCTAGACTGCAGCCGCGTTCTTTTGAAAGTAAATCGAAAGAATGCAGCAGTTTTTTCGATCTCGGTAAACTTCATTTTATGAGGAATAAAGCCTTTTTTCAAAAGTACTCTTTCGAAAAAAGGTGCTATTGAATGCAAACTGTGCATTTTCAAAAGAGAGTGTCTAGACTCTTTCGAAAAAGCGGCTTGTAGTCTAGATGCTCTTTTTTGAAAGAGGCTTGTAGTCTAGACGTAGCCTCAAAGTGTTTTGTGTACTTGGTTAGTGCCTCTTAACTCCTACAGCAGCCAATGTTGCTCTCATTGCCAGAGGTAATGTCGTGTTGGTCAAAAGCTGTGGTCTACATGTAACTCTCTTTCTTAACACCAAGAATTTATTATTGTGGTTTGTAGTGGGATAACAGTTTTTGACCTCATTTGCTTTGTTGGTCTAAAAATGTGTAGTATGTTTTGAATAGCTCACATACTGTCTACGGACTTCATCATGTAAGCTATATCATTCCAGCAGACAAGGTAGTCAGTCTCTAGTCCGCTTTTCTAGAAATCAAACTGCTGTCAAATTATAATTTTCCATTTAAATTTGTTCTCCAGAAATGGAAATGGAAAGCTTTGAGGAACTTATACCCATTCATGTTAAAATAACTATATCATTCAAGATAGAAGGTGAACAAAGAGCAGAATTTTTCACTCTTTCATCTTTAATTTCCTGTAAGGTCCTACAAACCGTCCATGAATTGTTCCTCCCACTCAAAACGATACTTCTCAGGAATTCTTACAGGGGAAATATGAAAGGGAAGGGAGAACAAAGAGGTGAGAAAAGGCTTCATTATTTCAACCCAGTCATAAGACTTCTAATTGGTGTTTGCTTTTTTAATAAACACATTATGTTAATATCACAATTATATCTATAACAAGAAGATTCATGGAGATTTAAATGAAATAGGCAGTCACAATTTTTCAGTGTTTCAAAAGTGAGCAATTTTACCCGAAAATGCATGCACATGAACATATACAGGGATATTGATGGAAGTTTGCTGGAAATGTGTGCCTAAATGTCTTCATGGGTGGCTTCTTTGTCCATAACACTTATTTGGATGTTTTAATGGAGAATGCCATATTCTTTTGTATATATTTTATTGCCAGACTCAGACCCTGTGGTTCTTGGCATTCGTACTTCATAGCAGTGTCCTTTGTTTATTTTACACGAGGGCAAATATTCACTTCACTGTCTTTCTCCTCATATATCAGCATCTGTATTATATCTTTACTATTACAGATAAAGTGAAAGATCAATTAAATTACATTTTAGTTAACTGAAAAATAAAACCTATGTAGAAAAATAAGTTCCCTGGTGCTTTTAATGTACAGTATTTTTCTTCATAATTTTCTGAGGCTATGAAATTAACTCAGAGTATCACTATGCAATTGCTAAACTTTTCTTAATGATCCAGCTGCTTTTTTATGTTGACATTGCCGTAAAATGTTGTTTTTGTGGAATGTTGATTGATATTTCCCAGAAATCACATAGTGACCATCCACAATGGAATGGGTTGCATTCGTGGTTCTGTTAGAAATAAATCAGATTACATCAAGGGTATGTGTGAGTGAGTGTTTAAATCCTGGCCTTATTGAAATCAATGGATAAACTCCCTTTGACTCTGTAGAGTCAGGATTTCACCCACTGTGTTTCAGCATCCTCAGAAGGACATCTACTGACTGTTGCATAGTTTTCCACAGACAATAGTGCCATCAGGAGACACGTGTTAGTCTGGTGCAGCTGAAACAAAAAACAGGACTGTGTAGCACTTTAAAGACTAACAAAGCTTCCCCAATTATCACCTCTAATATCATTAGCTCACAGACATTTACCTCCCCCCCTTCCCTCCTCTGCACCCCCCTTCTGTTCTGAAATGTGATTTGTCCTTTTCATATGTGTTCATTTTTTTTTAATTGTATCCTTTGGTATATATGGTTGTGACAATTTTCTTCCACTATTTGATCTGAGGAAGTGGGTCTGGCCCACGAAAGCTCATTACCTATTAAACCATTTTGTTAGTCTTTAAAGTGCTACACAGTCCTGTTTTTTGTATCAGGAGTCACAGCATTTTTAATGACATAGCCCATCCATTCTCTCCATCTCCTGGCCATTATTGTTGTGCTTCGCACAGGTAGCATCAGCTTGTATAGTCTCCTCTAAGGCCCTGATCCTGCAAGAACTGCATAGCCAGGACTTGTGTGTGCAAGTCCTTCTTGTAGGCCTATTGGCTAAAGATATTGGAATTTTAAGACATATTCTCCATAAGTAGAGTGCCGTAGCCACAGGTTCTGGAAAAGCAGGTGGATTGAAAAAGAAAGACTAATTTTTCCCCGGGTCTAGAATCAATGTTTCATCTTTCTTTGCTTGTTCCATTTCGCTCAGTTTTGTTCAGAGTGTGATCCTCTGGGGGATCACAATACAGTCTCCTTTTCTGAGTCTTATAATTAATTGAATAGTGTCCAGGCCAACTGTGACTTCGGTGGATTTTTGCTGGGAATGTGGTTAGTCTGCCCCAACTGAGCTCTAGGTGAGTTGAGTCACCTCACTATTGATCCTTCCCATCATGAACATTCCCATTCCCATTCCTGGAGGGCTGTAGGTCACCAGATTACAAGGATCAACGCCCTTTTTAACTGCCATGGCCAGGTTTTTTGAAACAACAGTATATTGGCATTTTCTTCCTGTGCGTATTAAACATATTTTATGTATAGACTATTTATGGGGAGAGAGAGACCAAAAAAAACCACCTTAGTTGCTATCCCAGAACCTAGCTGTTTTCACGTATTCATCGCTTACAGTCTGCGTGGGTGGAGTGAGAAGCTATAATAGGTTGCAGGTGGCTGTCATTATTTTTCTTCCACTTACTGATTAGTGTTTACTTAAAGGAAATCACAGTGGTTTGACTACAGTTTACAGTTGAATGTATAACAAGAAGTGATAAATTCTGGTAAGGCAAGCTGAGAAAGATGGAAAAGACAATGTCTGTTCTACTAATTGGAATCATGGAGTATTTTGCATGTGGCTTCTAAAGAGATTGGTGTTGACAAATTACAGATAGCTTTTCTATAGCTAAGGTTGAGGCTTGTTTTCCATTCTCATCCTGATTTTGACCACACTTTTGTCTAGAAAGGCAATTTCTGCCTCCCATTTACCCTAAGTTGTCTGTGTCCAAATCTTAAGTACTTTTACTGTTTTTGATAGCACTTGGAAAAAAATAGACATGTCAATTTTCAGAATTCATTAAGCTGGCTCGTATTTTCCTTCTCACCAAATACTAGTGTTTCTTTTAAGCTATATCTTAGCTCTGAATTTCCTTGGTTTATATCGGTTAACTTGTTTTCAAGAACTATCTTGCTCTCTTTTGTCAACATTCCTAGCCCCATATCACACAGATATTCTTTCTACTTATGAAATGTCCACAAATATGAATTTACTTTCAGTCTTCCAAGAAATGTTTGAAGAGGCAATTTTTGAGACCTTACACTGTTTTCCCCACTCCGTGAGTGTGTCTTTACAACTTATCTGAAAAAAAACAAATCCTTCCAACTAAGATCTAAAGGTAATGATTTGATGAGAGGAAGCAAAGCAAAGGGAAATGCCTTTTATTTAACTCAAGAATCTCTTTCCATTTGCTACAGCAGTCTTTATCAACTACACACATTAATTTAATTTTTTTGTCACTGTTTGGGATGTTTGGTGTGAGTGAGCAACTATTATGAAAGTCAAGTTATAACCCCACAATCTTCCTGCACCTTATTATCCTTCTACTTTCCCTGTTTTTAATTTCTCCTAAGTTCCTCATAATATAATACATACTCCATTTGTCTATGGAGATAATGGTCACATGGGTCCCCCAAAGGACTACTGTCCTTAATTTAGCTGGAGGGTTCAATTGAGAGCAATCCTAAGGTTCTTTTCCAACTCTTCAACATGCTGACCCAGATACACCCTGGTATCATGGCTTATCATGTTACATCAATAAGGCTATCTATCCCTGCAGTATTTTGTTAGCTACATCATTGTTACATTTAGAAGAATATGCCCTGTGCTGTGAAATGTCACAAAAGAAGATAAATTACATCCTGTAATATTTGTCATCTATTTCATAAAGACAGCAGATTTTTAAGATTCAGACTCATTTCATCGTTGTAGTCTAGCCTGTCTACCTTTAATTTACACCTGAACGCCACACTCCATTTTACTCTGCTTCCTAACTGGCCATCTTCTTGATATGTGTTTAAAATAAACTTTAGCTATAAGGGCACATTATGTCTCAGACACAGTTAAGTTAAGCAGAACATACGTCTGTAACTCATCCCTGTAGTCTGCTGTGGTCTTTTGTTTCATAATGAAAATCCATATGTGGCTTGATGGCAAGGGGTGGATAGCAGTTATGACACTGATGTAATAGTGTGTCTCCCCATTGCTGTCTTCAGAAACTATATGTAGTGTGAGAGAATGAGCTGCAATGACAAAAACTGAAACTGTTACATCCACAGGAACCCCAGCCTCTGGTGCACACATGTCAGATTGTGCCCCATTAAAAACAATTGCCTCTGTGCTGTGAAATCAGAGTGTTTTTACTGCCCACCATAGAGTATTTAATTGTAGGGCCTGTGTGGAGTGGGTTTACCCCTCTGCCAATAAGGCAGAATTCTTATTGACTCCAATGAGTAAAATTAAAAAAAAAAAGTTCTTTCATTTTAGTCTTGCATTTAACTAGTGCTCCTTTTAAGTCAGGCATAAGGCTTCACATTTTGAGCTTTTAAAACTAATTTCCTAGTCATTTGCCCATTTATCTATTCTGTTTAAGATCTGTAATTTGTTTCTTCTCTCATCTGGATCCTTTGTCTCTTCTTTAGAAAGTGAAGGTCCTCATCTTCTCTTTGGGTGACCACTAAAGGATTTTCTTCAAGTCTGTCCCATATGGTCTTACCTTGATTGCCCTTAAAAAGTCAGCATTTGCCAAATGTTACCATAGGGAAGTATCTGAAATGACCACAAAGTTCCCTCTGTACTTACAATGGGAAGTATGTGTAATAACTCTATGGTAGCTTCATTGAAACAAATGTATTGTTTAATGCCTTTCAATATCCCTTTGCGTGAAGTATCCACAGATTTATTATAAAGCGTAACCGTAGCTTCATTGAAACAAATGTATTGTTTAATGCCTTTCAATATCCTTTTGCGTGACGTATCCACAGGTTTATTATAAAGCGTAACCGCAGTCGGTTCAAATTGCTCCATGCTTCAGTCAGTACCTTGAACTCATCAAGTCATGTAACCAGGCCCGCCAATAGGGGGCAAACGGGGCAACTGCCATGGGGCCTGGCAATTCAGAGGGGTCTGGGGCAGTGGCAAGGACGCTTAGGATCTTTAAATTGCTGCCAGAGTCCCGTGTAGCATGTCAGAGCCTTGGATGGTGCCGGGGGAGGGGGTTGCAGGCTCGACAATGCTGAGGGCTGGCTACCCTGATCCTGACCCTTCTGCCTGAAGGTCTCCCCCTTCTGGGAGTGCAGGGCTGCCCGCCCCTCACCTGCCCAGGGACCTGGCAAGTCTGTCAACTTGCCTGCATTAAATAAACACATGGCAGTCAATAAAACACAATATAATGCACATTAAGCTGTAGAAGAAAAAGCTAAATGAGTAAGATGTAGGCCAAAGACTCATAGCAACAGGCACAAGATGGAAGCGAACTCCTAGGTCCTAAATAGAGCAAATCGAAGCTTAAGTCAAGGCTTACTGTGACTCAGCAATTACACCAAACAGTCTTGATAAGAAGGAGCCCACAATATGGGGTAGTCGCAGTGATGGCTAACATGAAAGAAAGACCTTACAGATGGCCATGATGGTATCATCTGGAAAGAGACTAAACATCAGAGGCTTTAGCTGCCTGAAGGGAATACACTAATTGAGAAATAACAGCTATAAAAATTAATGCAATAATAGTACATAAAAGTAAAAACAATAACTGAGAGAGACTGGCTGTCCAGAATTAAGCAAAGTAAGATGTAATGTCCTTTGCGGGCAGTAAAACTAAGTAAAATAATAAAATAATAGCAGCAATAATTCTCATTCTCCAGCAGCAGCGCTTCTCACCTACTAGACAGAAAAACTCTCACACACCAAACGGCAACAGATCTATGAACAAGCTTCCAATCTTTTTTTCTTTAATTTTGCTTTTACTAGAGATCCATTCTCACAGTCCGTGGGTAGTAAGTCTTACCAGCAGGAGCTGAAACAAATTCTGCCTTCCTCACACACACACTATATTTAACCCAAAGAGCAATACAATTATGTCTGACCTATATTATATATTCCTCTAATTTGC